AAAAAAAAAAAAAGAAAAGAATTTGAAAATAGGCCCACTGGCAGATATGGAAAGACACAAGGTGCAGTATTATTAACAATGTTGTAAACAGGGGTATAATTTGGGCGCGTCTGTGGCTCAACAGAGTAGGGCGCTGGCCCCATATGCCAGAGTGGTGGGTTCAAACCTAGTCCTGGCCAAAAACTGTAAAAAAAAAAGGGGGGGTATATTTTATGACATGTGAAGGAAAGAAACACTGTCATTTATTGATGGAGTATGCAAGAGAGGATAAAATAAAGGCTGTTTGCCTAGAGAAAAAAACCTGTGGGACAGACCATTAAAACACAGAGTTCTTATAGCATACCTGTGAGCTCTGAGAATCCAGCCCGACACCAACCTCTTCAGTCTCCCCTCCCATCACATTCTCCAGTTCCCCGGGAGTGTGCCAGCCCTCAACCGGAAGTCCCTTTCCCTTCATTCCCACCACAACACCCTCTCTCATCTTTCAAGGCTAAGTTCAAATGCCATGCTGTCCTTGAAGTTTCTCCTCCTCACCCACAATTGGGGATTACACTCTCCTCCTTCACCCTCCTGCTTGTCTGTAATTTCACTGCAGTGTTTTTTTTTACAATACCGTCATGTCATAGTGTATGTTATGTTTTCTTCCCCTCATCACCACTGACGGAGCTGCTAGGCTCTGTTTCACTTGCCACCACCTTCGCCTCTTCTCTCCAGCCACACCACGTCCTGTCTGCGTTTTACTTATTTTTACTTTCTCCCACTCCACCCTGATCTCCTAGGAGTGCTGAGCGTAATGTTTTATGCAAAGTAGGCATACAATGAATTTAATGAACCTCAAATTCCGACTAAATTTCTTAATATTAGAAGATGCTAAAGGGAACCAAAGTATGGCTTATAGAATATTTAATTTCCAAACTCAGACTATCTATATAAGGTTTCCACTCTAACTTTCGGGTATAACTAGTTCTCTTTTACTTTTCATTTGGTGAGATTTATTGAAACCATCTGTGCTACACTGATGATTTATTCTTGAGAACCAAGAGAACATCTTTATAAATATTCCTCTGGTTCAACACACTTGTCACTTCATCCCCGGAGTCTGACATCTGTCACTCTCTGAGATGATGATTTCGTGCAGTGTCAGATCCCAGCTACACAGATACCCTGGGTCTGGTACAGCCTCAGCGTCTTTCCCACTTCGTCTGCTCCACCTACAGCTTAACCTCCTGATGGAAGGATCATGACCTTGTGCTCCCACCATGACCTATGGAAGGTCTCCAAAAAGGTTAACCTAATGAATGCCGAATCACTATCTTATAAAAGTAAATCATATTATATCTTCCCCCTGATTAGACCCTCTATAAGAAGACTTACCTAGTTTTTCAAAACCAAATGCATAAAAATGTGTGTGTATGGGGCTGGAGGACTTAAAGGCCAAGAGTTTTAGACCAGCCTGGGCAATACAGAGAGACCTATCTCTTAAAAATATATGAAAAATTAGCTGGGCATGGTGGCATGTGCCACTCAGGAGGCTGAGGTAAGAGGATCACTAGAACTCAGTAGTTGGAGGCTGTAGTGAGCTATCATCAGGCCACTGCACTCCAGCCTGAGTGACAGAGCAAGACCCTATCTCTATTAAGGCAACCTCAAACTCTTAGGCTCCAAAAGCCTCTTGCTTCAGTTTTTCTATTTTTAGTAGAGACAGGGTCTCACTCTTGCTCAGGCTGGTCTCACATCCACTAACCTCAGCCTCCTAGAGACTAGGATTATAGGTGTGAGCCACCTCACCAGCCCAGTGGGCCACGTTAGGATTCTTATTTGAACAAACAAACTAAGACTTTTTTGGTTTTGCAATTAAAGAAACTTGAATGTGAGTGGATATTAAGTATTAAAGATTTATTACTAATTTTTGAAAATACAACAACATTATGGTTATGTAAAAATTGCTTTTGTTATTTTTGAAATGCTTATTGAAGTGTTTAGGGATTGGCTTTAAAATACTTTACCAAAACAAGGGTGTGCATGTGCATGCATGTGTGTGCGTGTGCATTTGTGTGTGTACATGTCTGTGTGTATGCAAATTTGTGTGTGTGCATGTCTCTGTGTGCATGTGTATGTGTACGTGCGTGTGTGTGTGTTGAGAAGACAGGAGAGACTAATACTGAACATAGCAAAATGGAGACAGTGTGAAGGCCAGTAACAGGGACACATGGGGTTTCTCAGCACTTCCTACTTTTGTATATAGTTGAAAATTTTTATGGTAAACTTGTAAGAAGTAGGATTATTGGGAGAAATTTATGACGTTAACATTAGCCTTCTGGAACATATTCTGTAGGCTGTCATCTTCTGTGGATCAGAGACAGCAGTTGAGTGACTGCCTTCTCAAGTTCCTGCAGGATCATGGAACATCATGTGCCACAGCCAGGAAACAAATTCATTTAGGCTGAGAAAGACTTTTTAACTAATGTTTTCATAAAACTTGGGCTCCAAATCCTTTTTACCATGTTTTGTATCACATGTCCACTGATTTGGCTTAATAGACAAGTATTGATTTATTTGTCTTACTTTTTTTTTTTTTTTGAGATAGAGTGTTACTATGTCACCTGGGGTAGAGTGCTGTTACATCACAGCTCACAACAACCTCAAACTCTTGGGCTTAAGTGATTCTCTTGCCTTAGCCTCCCAAGTAGCTGGGACTACAGGTGCCCGCCACAACACCTGGCTATTTTTGGTTGCAGTTGTCATTGTTGTTTAGCAGGCCCGGGCTGGGTTGGAACCCGGCAGCCTCAGTGGCTGGTGCCCTACTCACTGAGCTATAGGCGTGGAGCCCTGTCTTACATTCTTTATGATTAGACTTGGTTCAATACAGCATATTACTATTATACCCTTAATAATATTATTGTTTCATATATAAATGTATTGATCAACTTATGTCCTAAATTTTCAAGTAACTTTACAAGAGATAATTCAGTAAAATTCCTGACCTTTGGCTCGGTGCCTATGGCTCAAGTGGCTAAGGCGCCAGCCACGTACACCTAAGGTGGCGGGTTCAAATCCAGCCTGGCCCCACCCAAACAACAATGACGGCTGCAACCAAAAAATAGCCGGGCGTTGTGGAGGGTGCCTGTGGTCTCAGCTACTTGGGAGGCGGAGGCAGGAGACTCCCTTGAGCCCAGAAGTGGGAGGTTGCTGTGAGCTGAGATGCCACGGCACTCTACCCAGGGGGACAGCTTGAGGCTCCTGTCTCCAAAAAAAAAAAAAAAGAAAAGAAAAAATTCCTGACCTTTGCCAGAGGGCTGCGTCTCTGGTGTTCCACGCTAAATTAGAAATTGGTGATGGGAACACTGACTATGGCACCACCGCTCCACTTGGGTTTCTGTCTACCCGTCCTCGGGAGCATCAGTAACATCTAAACAATCCTCAGATCTTCTTAAGGATAAGTCAAGGGTAAAGAAAATGGGGTTTAGGGCCGGACCTGAAAGGAGAGCCCGGCACTGTCACCTGTGAGCTGAATAACCTCGAGCAACATCTTGATTCTTTCTGAGTTTCTGTTTCCTCCTACGTAAAATGGTTAAGAATAATATTTATTCCTAGTATTCAGAAAGGATTAAATTACATAACGTAAGTAAAGACATTGGGTGCAATGCCTGGTACAGGGCAAACACTCAGTAAATGGCGTAAATAAAACTCGATGTGAAGGGATGGCTAAAAAGTCTGGGTTAAAACATAGAAGAATCATTATAATAGAAAAGGAAAACCAGAGTAGCCCCCTAGCTTCCAACAATGGTTTCTTTGGGAGAGATTACGAGATGCACTCTCTTTTTACATTGAACGTTTCTAAAATGTTTGAATTTTTTTTAAAATAGAGACAGGGTCTCAGTCTGTCACCTAGGATGGAATGCAGTAGTAGTTCAATCATAGCTCGCTGTAACCCCAAACTCCTGGTCTCAAGGGCTCCTCTATCTCTGCCTCCTAAGTGGCTGGGACTATAGGGGTATATAATCTTGGAACTTTGGGAGGCTGAGGCAAGAAGATTCTTGAGGCTAGGAGCTCAAGACCAGTCTAGGCAACATAGCAAGATCCTATCTGTACAGAAATCAAACATATAAGCTAGGCACAGTGGTGCACCTGTAGTCACAGAGAAGGGGGGAGCTGAGGAGAGAGAATCACGTAAGCTTAAGAGTTTGATCCAGGACACCCCTCTCTCTTAAAAAAAAAAAAAAAGCAAGAAGAACCCCCTGCTGACCTAGAACATCTGTCCTGCACTATTGTAAGAAATACACTTACCTCGTGGTAGATGTTATAGAAGCTTAGCACTCCCTCATTAAGAAATAATGCAAGCATATTTCCCTTTCCAGAACTCAGACACAATTCTCCAGTCAAAGCACTATTTTGTACCAAAACCCAAAGCAATCATGATACGGTACTTTGCTCACCAACAAATAATAGCTACACAGTTACAATAACCTAAATGTAATTATTAATGAAAATTGTAATAAATAGGAGGATAAGGGGAGGACATGGAATAATGGCAGCAGTAAAGACTAAATTGTCATCTAGTTAATCTTGCCAAAGATATTGTTTAAAGTTGATAAATGAAAAGATTCGTATAGGCCCATTATTTTTAACAGAGAGGTAAATGTATAATGAAAAAAATGAACAAATAAAAAAGATGAAAGTGGTTGTCTTTGGGCAATAGGACTGAAAAATGAAGGAAGAGGCAAAGAGCTGCTGCTCGTTGATGTAACTGATTTTTAAACCACACATTATGTTTTGTTTTGATATAATTAAATGTTTAAAAAATGTGCAAGAGAAATTAGATACAGGACTAGAATTCTTGTTCTTCTCCAAACATATTCTCCTCTATAATTCAAGTGTTACCTTTACTACAACTCCAAAAGGGAACTGATCACATCTTAAATGAAGCTAATTCTGTGTACTTTTAACAACTATTCTTCTTTTTTGGTAAGGGAAGAGTATAATAACGTTTATTGAGAAAGAGATGGGTGGCGCCTGTGGCTCAGTGAGTAGGGTGCTGGGCCCCATATACTGAGGGTGGTGGGTTCGAACCCAGCCCGGCTAAACTGCAACAAAAAATAGTTGGGGATTGTGGTGGGCGCCTATAGGCCCAGCTACTCGGGAGGCTGAGGCAAGAGACTTGCGTAAGCCCAAGAGCTGGAGGTTGCTGTGAGCTGTGACACCACAGCACTCTACTGAGGGTGAGAGTGAGACTCTCTCTCTCTAAAAAAAAAAGAAACAAAAAAAATAAAAAGAGAAAGAGAAACAGGTTTACATAGTGAGAGTGAGATATAGTCTTTAGGAGCAAGTTGAGTTTGCCATAGACAGACCTCATTATTGCCATCAAGAAAAGGTAAGGAGGCCTTTTAACAACAGTTTAGAACTGAGCCGTCCTTGAAAGGAAGCCATGAGCCTACCCCTTGAGAAGCATGAACAGGATGTGGGGGTGAGCGCTGATGTACTCCACAGTGGGGCTCCGAGCGCCTATCTGTCTTCTGAGAATGTTGTTAAATATCTGGGTCACATCTTTTTTTCCCTGTTAAAGAAACAAATAACAATTACATTGTACATTGTAGATTTTAAATAGGTGAATTACATGGTCTGTCGTGCACATGGCATGTATACATATATACACAAACAGAAACAGCACCATCCTTTCTAATGGGCAGAGGCATTTGCTCTTTTCAGATCTTGACAAGTGCTTTCAGAGGCACAAAGTGTACAGCTCCCGACCACAGGCCGTGCACTGCGGGAATCTGACCAATTAGAAGTCCACTTCCCACATTAGCACATACAAGTGCACAGAGAGATATAAATAGTGAATAAGAAGGAAATGAATTCTTGATATTTTTACCTCCTAGCTTTATTCAAAAGGAAAATTATAATTTATATTTTTAATGTTCATAAGGAAGGAAAATAGACAAAACAAAGATTTTAGTAAAATTCAAGTTAGAATAAAATTCCCTTTTCTTAGATCTATTGCCTAGTAATTTTTTCCTTTACTTTGTCACTTTATTCAGTCATCTTAAACCTTGGTGCCTCCAAAAAAAGGGAAAAGAACCCAAGTTGTACATTAGATGGATATTTGACCTTGGTGGTCGTAAGAAATCATATCTAGTCTAGATGGACAGAAGGGACCATTGAGTCAGTCACCAGGGACAGAGGAACTATACAGCCAGTCATGCCCGGGCTTCTCAGAGTCCTCATGGACTGGCCTTCCACGGACCCTACAACCTGAGTCCAGCCTGGTGCTCCAACAAGCCCTGGACTGGACCTGAGCAAGTTACATGGAAAATAAGTAAAGGATGACACCACCTTCTCAATCACTATGGCCCTGGTCCTGACCTTCATCTATCAACTGACCTATACAACCGCCTGCCTCAGTTTCTCTTTGCACTTCAAAGCATTCTCACTCTGCAGAGTGAGCTCGCTAGAAATGCAAACCTGACCACACATCCTCCTCCCCTAAACTCCCCAACACCTTCCTTTGACTTAGAAAAAAGCCCAACGCTTTTCATGCCGTGGCCCTTGCCTACTTCTCCAGGCTCATCTGCTACCTTTCACTTTCCAACTTCCACTTCAGGTACTATGTCCTCCTCCACCACCCCCTTCTACCCCATCGAAGCAGCAAAGATTCGTTGAGCGCTGACGCTGTGCCAGGCACTTATGCCAAGAGCTTTACATGTGTTTCCCAGTCTTTACAACAACCTTATAATGTACATATTCATAAGGAAACAAAGGACTGGTGAGGTTGCCTTACCCAGATGGCAGGCAGGAGACCTAGGACTCCAACCCAGGCTGATGGAATCCAGAGTCTGGGTTCTTCACCATCATACTGAAGTGACTGCCTGTACTCAACACAGTACACTGAAGTGAAAATTCTGTCTCTAACTCCTCATTGCACTATTAGCTCACAGAAAGACAGGTCATATTTCAAAGTCCATATCAGGGCCCAGAATACAAAGTCAGAAAATTAAGTTTGCAAAGTGATCCTATAGAAAATGCTACATACTTCATTACTGAATATCACTACCGTCACCAGATGGCCACAGGGAGGGCAGGCTTTGAAGGTGACCATAGTTGTTTTCAGCAATGAGGTACGTAGCACTCTCTCTAGGAGGACTTCACAAACTTCTTACCTTGTGTGCTAGGCACTTGGTAAGTATTTATTGAACTGATTCATTACCTTAGAGGCACAACCAGCTATATATCCTTTATCTCAAACATGGGCCATCAATCCCTCTTATCTAAAGGGACACTCAAACAACTAAGACCCCAAATGAAGACCAATAAGATTATTCAATTAATTAATCAATCTTAAAACTACACGTCATATAAAATATGAAATACACATCTACTGAAAATAGTAATAGATAGAAAAAATTCTAGAAGAATATCATTGATCTTATAAAAAATTAGCTTTGAATAGATTATAGACTCAAAACACAAGACTACAAAACTTTCAGGAAAAAATAGAAAAAATTTTTCATGATCTAAGGCAGGGCAAAAACTTCTTAGACCTGACACTAAAAGCATAATCCACAAAAAGAACAAGTAATAAATTGGGCTTCATAAAAATACAAAAATTTTGCTCTCCAAAAGATCCTGTTAATAGGATGAAAAGGTAGGCTACAGACTGGGAGACACTCCTGCAAGCCCTATTTGTGAAAAAAGATTACATGTGACATGCATGTATCTAGAATATAAGTGAAAAAAAATTCAAAACTTAATAGTGGGCTCAGCGCCTGTGGCTCAAGTGGCTAAGGCGCCAGCCACATACACCTAATGTGGTGGGTTCAAACCCAGCCCAGCCTGCCAAATAATGATGGCTGCAACTAAAAAAAATAGCCGGCCGTTGTGGCAGGCACCTGTGGTCCCAGCTACTTGGGAGGCGGAGGCAGGAGAATCGCTTGAGCCCAGGAGTTGGAGGTTGCTATGAGCTGTGATGCCACAGCACTCTACCCAGGGGGACAGCTTGAGGCTCTGTCTCAAAAAAAAAAAAAAAACTTAATAGTGTAAAAAATTAAGAATCCAATTAGAACTTGGGAAAGATACAAAGAAACATTTCAACAAAGAGGATATACAGATGGTAACTAGACCATAAAAGATGTCTGGCATCTTCAGCCATTAGGAATCTGCAAATTGAAACCACAATGAGATATTACTACATGCAAGTCAGAATGGCTAAAATTAAAAAACAGCAACAACATCAAATGCTAGTGAGAGTGAACAGGAACTATGCTCATACATTATGGTGGAGATGGAAAACAGCACAGCTAATCAAGAAAACACTGTGACTGTTTCTTAAAGAACCAAACACACAACTAATAATCACAACAGGAACTGCACTCTTGACATCTATTACAGAGAAATTAAAATTCATCTTTACACAAAAACCTGGTCATGAATGTTATAATAGCCAAAAGCTAGGAATGACCCAGAAATCCTTCAACAGGTAAATGGTTAAACCAACCAACTGTGGTCCATCCACACTCTACAGATAATTGCTCGGCAATAAAAAGGACAAGCTATTGATGCAGACATCAGTGAGAGGAGCCTGGAGGAATTATGCAGAGTGAAAGAAGGTTACATACTGTACGGTTCTATTTACATTCTTGAAATGGCAAAATTATAGGAATGGAGAACAGACTAGTGCTTGCCAGAGGTCAGGGAGGGGGTGGTGATGGAGCTGAGGGATGTGGGTGTGGCCATAAAGGGTGACTAGAAAGACCTCGGTGGTGATGGAAATGTTTTATATTTTGACTTTATCAGTGTCAAGATCCTGGTTGTATTGTTGTTGTATAGTTTTGCAAGATATTACATACATCAGCACTGTAGAAACTAGGTAAGGTACCTCAGATCTTTCTGTATTATTTCCTAAACCTGAATGCCAATCCACAATTATTTCAAAATAAACAGGTTAATTTTTTACAATCAATATGTTTAGAACTGGGCATGGTTAAATAAATTATGGTGTATCTAACAGGTAGAAATAAGAAATTGGAACATCAAAATGTTGGCAGTGGTTAGATATAAGAAACATCGACAGTTATCCATCGTTTTCACTTTATTTCATGGAGAGAAAAAAAGAGAAAAGTGGAAATAAAGGAATAAGAGAGAAGAAAGGAGAGAGCAGAGAAGAAAAGAGAAGGAATCATGAAGGAAGAAGTGAGAACTGAGGGGAGAAGAAGACATAGAAATAAAGAGCAGGTAAGCAGGAAAGAAGAGTATATATTTTCTTTTAAGAAAAAACATAAGGTCAGACACCATGGCTAACGCCTGTAATCCTAACATTCTGGGAGGCCAAGGCAGGTGGATCACTTGAGCTCAGGAGTTCAAGACCAGCCTGAACAAGGGCGAGTCCCTCTCTACCCCGAAAATAGCTGGGTGTATGGTTGCTGCTGGTAGTCCCAGCTACTCAGGAGGCTGAGGTAAGAGGATCACTTGAGGTTGCTATGAGCTGTGACACCATGGCACTCTATCAAGGAAAACAAAGTGAGACTCTGTCTCAAAAAAAAAAAAGAAAAAGAAAAAAAACAAAAACAAAATGCTAACTGCTTGAGATGAAAGATACCCTAACCACTCTGATTTGATCATTATACACTGTATGCTTTGATAAATATGCATAACTATTATGTATTCATAATAATTAAAAATAAACATTAGGAAAAAAGAAAAATAGTATACCAAACTTCAAATTTTAATTTGCCTCCACAATTAGGAGATGATACATATCTTTATCAATTTCAGGATCAGTTGCTCTCATAATTTTAAAATACTAAAAATGTTCATTATATAAATTTCATTTATACAGATGTTAGAGACTATATGTGTTATATAAAAGAATTAAATATAAGTGAATTTTAAAATGAAAGAAATCATTTGTTTTGTTCAAACCTTTCTAGACTCTACAGTGTAAAACCGTAGAATCAAGATCAACCTTCTTTGAGATGCCATATGAGCGTGTTTTTTGTACTTCCCAGTAATATGCCACAAGCACATTTCTATACAGCATTCCAGTAAAGAGATGAAGGTCCACAGAACTCTATCCAACTTCTACACAGAGGAAAACATTCTTCTGGTTCATTAGCAAACATGTGCAAAGGCAAAGGAAGCCTCCTGCAGATCAAGAACACAAGTGCTGCTACCAGGCACTGCTTCCCAAAGCAGAGGAAGGATCAGAATGGAGAAGGTTCCAGAAGACTGAAGCGGGTAGAAGAGGGCAAATGGTTTAGTTCTGCGTGACCTTTGTAGCTATCCACTCATCACACTAAATCTCAATGGAGAGAAACCTTCACTCAACCTTCAGGCTTCCAGATCCTCAAACTCTGGACCTAGAATGGTCATAAAAAAGAAAATAATAAACTCTCAAAACATTTTTGGTAATAAAAAAGCAACATCCAGAAATAACCAAAAGTGATTAAAATTAGCTGGTAATTCTAAGATTACACGCAATGTAACTGATCCTATCCACACCTGAAGAGGCATTTGTGCTTGCTGGCAAATTCAAAAAAGGTCAGCTTTAACATAAGGTGC